GTTTACCGCCAAAAAAGTGCAACATTTTTACTATCTCCGTAAAAACTCTTGTTTGATATTCTGAAAATATAAAATACAATGTAAATCTTTTCTTGTAACATTGACAAAAATACAAATTTACCTGGCTTTGTTTCGATATAATGATTAAGAATTTCTTGCAATTCGTTCAAAGTTGTACTCGCACCGATTGTCAATTCATCTTTGGATTCCACAATGTCGTGAAGTTCTTTTACTTGTACTGGCTGTATAATTACTGGATATATCAAATGTCTAAATTTCATTTCAATACCTGCAATGTATAAAATGTAATTTTATAATAAAGTAAGTACATTTTTAAAAATGTAAATAAAAATACAAAAGACAATATACAAACCAACTTCCGTATTTCCAACTACAATTTTCGCAGCTGGAAATTCATTTTTAAGACATAGTAATTGCGTTAAATTGATTGGTCTGAACCATGTTACATTTTTGCCTTTTATTACTAAATATTGTTCATTAAGATAAGAAGACATCTGTAAATAAAAATATCATACAATTTATCAATAATATGATGTATCACAATAAAATGAAGTTAATTAAATGTCCAAATAAATTTACTTGTAACTTTGGTGGAAATATTAAATCCTGAGAAGGATCATACGGAGTGAATCCTTTCGAATTAAAAACTTCAGTAGGTTCTGATGTAAATGCTTTTTTACAGCAAGCATCACCCATGCCACAAACATTTCCACATCCGTTCTCTTTGGGCATATTATTGTCGCATCCGTTCTCTTTAGCCAAATTATTAGCAAGTTGCATTTGTTCCCATTCTTCAGTAAAGGTCTTGTATCCTTCAATAATTGGCCGATATCCTGTACATCTGCATAAATTACCTAAAAATCAAATGTTTCATTAAACACGTACCATCAAAACATAAATCAAATATGATCAAATTGATTTACCTTGAAATGCAATTTCCAAATCTTTCATTGTAGGTTTAGGTGTATTTCTCAAAAGTGTATACATAGACATAACAATACCAGGTGTACAAAAACCACACTGAGAACCATGAGCTTTAGCTATGCGTTCTTGAACAGCATGTAATTTTGTTTTGATGCTACCAATTCCTTCAACAGTAGTCACTGCTAAACCATGAACAGCACATATTGGAAATAAACATGCATTTACTGCCAAATGACTGTTATATAATCATTAAGAAAATAATATTTCATTTTTTAATATAATTAATTAATATTGTTATTAAATTATAATATAGAAAACAAAAGGATACACAATTGATTTAGTCCTGTAATTATATTTGGAAATCATGACCGTGCATGTTCCACATCCACCTTCGGCACATCCTAATTTGGTTCCAGTTAAACGTACTGTATTCATATTGTTAAGGTTTTATAATTAATATTATTAAATATATAATACTTTGTATATATTAATATATAATAAAAGGATACATTTATTACGAAGGTACCATAGTAAAGTCCATTCAGGTTCTATCTTGTCGTCTATTACCTAAAATAATTACATTTAATTATAATGTATTCTTTATTGTTTTGATTTGTATTAATAATTAATTAATTAATTAAACACATAGTTTTACCTCTTTTCCATTAACATAAAATACAAGAGTATTTGCTATGAATTGTTTAGTTTCATCATTTAATGTTATCCCATTTTGTACTTTTGTTTTGTAATTCGTGTCGTGTATGGTGTTCACTGTCCCATTTAAATTACGCTTCATTGTTCTATAAAAAATGAACTTTTCCTATAAATACAATTACATTGATATTATTTTATTTTATTATAATTTATATTTATTGTAATATTAATATTTCAACCATTTACACAAGTAAATTCATAAATTTTCAAAATGGTGCCACATCATGTTTAAAAGATCATTTAAATAATAATAAATATAGAAGATGATAAATAATAAATGTGGTTTTTTTTTTTAAAGATAATACTAAAAAAAAAAAAAAAGATTCAATACAATTGTTTAATCATTTTCAATATATTTTTATTGTTTTCATTGATTATTTGTTTACAATCAAATTTTGCATCATTGACAATTATAATACAATGAAATAGTAAATAATTTTAATAATGCATTTATAAAAGATAAAATATGCATGGAAAATTACTCTAGATACAAATAATGTTGCAACTTAATTTACTTATACGTCATACAGTGATAATTAAAATATGGGCAATTGAGATAAAGTCACACATTTTTATTTTTTCATTGAACTTGTTTGTTCTGATATAGTAATTGCTCAATGAACAATCTTATGAAATAGACAAAAATAAGATAAGTTGATGATAAACACGTTAGATTATAATAAATAATATATAAATTCATTTTACAATATAAAACAATTATATATATATTATATGTGCACTTATATATAATTTATTTCATAACCCTATATATGAAATTTGATAACAATTTAAACTGCCATCTACAAAGCTACCATATATATGTTTACACACATACACACATAATTATATGTATATTTTTCAAATACTATCTATATATATATATATATATATAGATAGATAGTAGCCATATATATATATGTCTAACACAATAATATCACTTGAACACATATTAGTAACAAAATTACACAACAACGATAACTTAAAAAACTTTGAAAAAATTAAATAACACAATTAATGGGCGCACAAAATGTAGAAAAACTAACAAAGAAAAATTTCATTAACTTATCTTATTAATCTCTGTCAATTAATTGAACCTGCGCAGTAGACCAATATGTGAATCTGCGCAGAACGCGAGATTGAGTAAGAAATTCGTATTTTAAAAAAAAAATGGCCCCACTTGAATTAAAGTGATAAATTAATTTTTAAATGAATACGAATAAACCATTTAAAAAAAAAAAAAAATAACAAAAAAATTCAAACAAAATAACTACTACGAAATATTTATGATTTTTTTGTTTTTTTGTTTATATAATGTCATGTGTATAAAAAAAAAAAAGTGTATCACGAGATAAAATGCAAAGTGATGAAACTCTTACCTTTTGATTGTTTAATTAATACGTATATATATACGTAAAAACAAATAATTCAATATTTAAAACTAATTAAGAACACTCTAATGATTGCTTCAGTATATTTATTCACTGTAAGTTGTAATGTACACAATGCACTAAGTTTACTGAGCAACTGATATTCCAACTGGAGACCATGATCGTAATATACTACTCCCCACAATTGAGCTTCGTTAATTAATCATCGATAAATCAATACTAAAATATCTTAAGAAGGATTGCCTCGATATGATAATATTGTGATATAAGATAAATATATATATATACAGGGTGTCCTATAATTCGACTGATTTCAACTTATATGATATCAACTAACGACACCAGTTGATTGTTATTTGATAATTTTCTTTCACAACTTTTTAATGAAACAATTAAATCTCTTTTCTTATAATAGCATTTTAATTTTATTTTTGTTTTTATAATACGTCGGTGACGTTTGTTGGAAGAAGACTGAGACACTTGAGACACCATATATGTATATAGATTACATTCTTATTTCGTTTTCTAATCAATATTGTTGATTTAATCACGACTTGTAGAAATGATTAAATAAATAAGGGTATTTTTTACATTATCATGTTAAGCATTTGAAACATTAAATTTTACGTATTCTTACTACGTATTTTAATACGTAAGAGATAATATAGATTTTTTTCATTGTTTTCTTATACGTTTATTTCTCAATCATTATCTTAGATAGTTATCATAATTTACAAATTGCATTTAGATAGTATACAGTAGTCATATTTTATAGCAATCTAGTTTGTTATATAAGTAAAAGATAAATTATATAAGTATAAAAGAATAATACTAGAAATGAAAGAAGAATTAAAAAAAAAACAACAAAAATATTTTATTTTACCTTTATATAATTATTTTTAACTTAAATTCTCTAAATTAATATTTTATTTCTTGTCGTATTGATTTCATTAAGATAATATAATACATTAAATATATATAAGTATAAAGAAAAGAAAATGGGATTAATAGATTATGCTTGTTATGATATATTATCATAATACGATAATAAATGTAAATAACTGTACGTCAAAATTTTGATTAAAAATAACATATCTCTTCCTTTTTATTTCATCTTTATATTATTATTATTATTATTATTATTTTTATTATTATTCAAAATCTGCAATACAATGTAATATTTCTTATGGAATTATTTAAACATTTATATATATAGGTTGTACATTCCAAATTTAATTGTTGACAATTGAAAATTTCTCATAAAATTGTTTTTTAACTTTTAAATGAAAAGATTCTTTTCTTTTCATTCTTTCAATTTTTCTTTTCATTTTTCCAAATAAAAAAGTAGTTGATATAATAATTATGAGCCTGCAAACATATATCATACTTCCAAAATAGTACTTTTCTAGTAATATTATTCACACATCTAGTGATATTTCTATTATTTCATATAATAAAAAATGAACTAAATAATTACTATATCTTCATTGTTTGTATTATATTAATCTGCAATACAATATAATATTTCTTATGGAATTATTTAAACATTTATATACATATATATATAGGTTGTACATTCCAAATTTTATTGTTGACAATTCAAAATTTCTCATAAAATTGTTTTTTAACTTTTAAATTTATAAATTCTTTTCTTTTCATTTTTCCTTTCATTCTTTCAATTTTTCTTTTCATTTTTCCAAATAAAAGTAATTGATAAAATAATTATGAACCTGCAAACATATATCATACTTCAAAAATAGTACTTTTCTAGTAATATTATTCACACATCTAGTGAAATTTCTATTATTTCATATAATAAAAAATGAACCAAATAATTACTATATTTTCATTATTTGTATTAATTTTAAATAATAAAATAAAAAATAATGAATATCTTGTAAAATGTTTTTGTAATATTCAATGTTAGTAACAAAAAAACCAACAGGGTGCAGCATGCATCATAAAAAAAAGTGGTTGGTATCCCTGACATCTATCTTTTTCCTTTCAGCACTATATCTGAAGAAAAGTTGTCAAGTAAGTTAAAGCTTGTTTGTGAATATCGTGAAATATCTAAATAATCTTCTTAATTAAATAATAAGTTAATAAATTATTAAATTGTATTAGTTTGTTGCATTGTTTTTTTAATAATATTGTTTTTCATAGTAATATAATTATTAACATTGTTTATCACCAATTTTTGTTCTACCATAATAATTAATATCTCTTATTTTCTGCATAATTATTTCTAAAAAATAATATCCTAAATTACTCAAAATAATTTATAATATTTGTCAATTAACAATAATTTTTAAAGTAGAGACATGTTGTTTAATTTTACCATGCTTGTTATATTATTGATTATTTCCTAACCTCAATGTATTATTTGATAGGATGGCACCAAGATATGAATTAGCTGTTGGTCTCAACAGAGGACATAAAACTACCACAATCAGAGTTGCTAAAAATAAGACAGAAAAAGAAAAAACTGTCATTCTTCGACCATCTAGATTGAAAGGGGTAAGAAATACAAAATCATATATCAATAGATTAATGAATGAACTATTATAAAACAATTTCTATATTATTTCAGAGACAAACTAAACACAGCAAATTTGTCAGAGATTTAATCCGTGAAGTAACTGGTCATGCTCCTTATGAAAAACGTGCTATGGAATTGCTCAAAGTATCAAAGGATAAGCGTGCATTGAAGTTTTTGAAAAGAAGGGTAAATAGTTAATTTAATTGACTATTTAAAATTGAACATTTATCTAAAAAAAAAAAAAAAAAAATAATACTACATTTAATAACACATAATATTGAGTAATCTATGAAGTATATGTTTTCTATATTTTGATTGATTATTTTAGTTGGGCACTCATATTCGTGCTAAGAGGAAACGTGAAGAACTTGGAAATATTCTTGTACAAATGAGGAAAGCTGGCGCCCATCATTAATTTAATAATAAATTAATGTATTTCATAAGAATATTATTAAAAAATATTCAATAAAAAGAAAATCTTTCATTTCATATGTTCTCCATGCCATTTATAATATTTGTAGATTTCAATAATTAACTATAAAATTAACTGGACAAATTGTATTCTCTGTATACGTATGCCCATTTCCTGCATTGTATGCAATCATGTGTAAAATAAAAAAAACAACTTTGAAAGTTAGTAACATTTATAGAAATGTTAAATGGTAGAATATTTGATCAAATATAAAATACATTTATGAGCATAAATATTAATTTGTAAATTAATTAAATCTTTTTTTTTTTTCAATTTTTTTGTGCTTTGCAAGGCTCAATAATTTGGGAGCTCTGTGATATCGCCCAGTTTATATACCTTTGAATACGACCTTGAATAAATATGGCACGCTCTGATAATATTTATTTTAAATAATTGAATATTCTAGTAAATTATTACGAAATACGTTTTATCAACATTATTTCTATAAATATAATAATAAATTAAAATAAACAGGACAAATGGGCATTGCATCAATAAATATTTTGGTAAGATTATATAAAAAGCATTGATTGGTTAAGAAAAAATTGTTTCGACCAATCAAATAAGAGAGAATCGAGTATAGTGGAATCTTGAGTAAAAGTAATGTTATGTAGTCAAATTATTGTCATAATATAAAAAAGTATTAAAAAAAAAAACAATAATTACGTTAAAATTGATGATATTAATTGTGTAATATTTGATAAGACAATTTTTCTCTAGGTTACCTTTTTTTTTTCTTTACATCAGAAAATTGTATTACACTCAGTTTGCATTTGACGATTATAACCATCAATATATTCCTGTTTTATTTTACGTATATGACGTTACACCTTTAAAGAAATATATAATTATCTACATTTTTCTTAACCCTGTCAATACATTATTTTCATGTATATGCATATAAACATTTATAGGAAGCACGTGTTTAATGTTAAGATAAATATTTAACGTGTTGCTTAGTAAGCACAAGTTCCAGAAGTTAATGAAGGATGTACAATAAATAAAATTATTCCATTATGGAAGACATAAATATTTATGACAAAATAACATCAGAAGAAGAACTCATTAATACAACTTGCAACGAAAATTATGAGGATGATACCGAATTTGTAATATTAAACAAATATACTACCGTGGATGACAACATGGTAAATATAAAAGTGCATTTTTACTCATTATCCATATTAATATTTTACAGTACAATTTGATTTATTATTTTCGTTCATAATATTGCTGATATAGCAATGAGAAAACTTGTCAATCATTTGTTTTTATTAATTTCTAAGATATCATATATATACATACATATACATATACATATATAACCTAATATATGCATATATATGTATATATATGTAGGTTTGATAACCCAAATCTTAATAATCAAAGTCGAGTAAAAAAAAAAAAAAATTGTTTCATAGGTTGTTGGAGAAGAAGTAGAAGTCAACGAAAATATGGACTTACATCAAAGTAGTTCTTTAGATTCTAATTGTTCATTGGAAAATATATCAACATCCGCTGACGACAACATTCATACATGCAACAAAGAATTAACAGATTGTATGGAAACTTGTTCTATGATTTCTTCCACAAGTTCTAATATTAAAGATAATTTAAATCAAATTAATGATGAAGAATCTACCATGGTAAGTACATTACCAAAAATTGTAAATATATATATAT